TTCTTCCACCTCCAAGATTGCGAAAATGTAAGTGTCGTTGGTATAATGTAAAATGTTTTCCATGAAATATATTTTTGTATAAAAATATTTTACCTTGAAAAAACTGTTTTAGCTCTCTAGATTATTTTTGAATTGGTGTGAGCATAAACTTCGATGAAATATGTAACTGTACATGGTAGAGGATAGAGTTTTTTCAGTGATAATTTGAGCATGGATACCATTGCATGCTAAAGCTTAACGATGACTAAGCGTTGGTTAATGGAGTAAGAGTTGGGCTATTTGTTTTTAACAAAATTACCTGTGTGGTGTAAGTAATCTTCAGTAATATTGGAGTAACATATTTTTCGTAGAGAAAACATTTTAACAATAAGGTTACTAAACACAAGAAAAGAATTCATCGACTAAAACATTCTTTCGGGAAAAAAAAATAGATGTACCTAAAACCGAATAGGTAATTTCTTGAAATTCTTAGCGTCCTATGGTGTCATATCGTTCTTGCTTGATCTCATGTTTAATTTATATGGTCAATTTCTTGACTCTTCTTTTAGACACTATTATTTTCCATTAGTCTTAACATATATGTTCTTATTACTTGATCATATTCAAATTAAATTATCCAGAGATAAATTCATATGGAGAAATAGTGGACAAAACGGGCTACGTGAGTAAACAGAAGTTTCGATCGATGGTTGATATCTATGAGGCAACAAAGCCTGTGATGAATATGAAGAAGAATTAGAAGCAGCATATATGCATGGCTAGTTTAATTTGGAAACCTACACACCTTATAATAATTGTCATGTAGAACTTAGCCCTAATTATCTAGTTGCGTTAATGCTAGTGATTTTAAGGTAAATGTAAAAATGTTACAGTTGTGGATTAATGAACTTCAGAAGTTTTTGAAATGGCAGAATAGCCTAAATGGCACTTATACTTGTGCCACTTTGTCATGCCGGTCCCTAAACTTATCATTTTGCCAATTGAACACTTACACTAGTTCAAATCGTATATTCTAAATCCCTCTGACCATTGACCGAGCTTATGTGGCATTAACATAGCTGAGGTGGACAAGTTATGTGTAACACACGCGTGTAAAGAGAGTGATACTAGTGATTTTAATTAAAAATGAATTAAACTAAAATCATGCACAAAATCAGGCAAAAAAATCCCACCTTTCTTCTCGCCCCCAATCCCTCTTTCCCCTCCACACTACTGTAAACAATGGAGGAGCCTTCAAAGGCTTGTTTTGGTTATTATTGTTGTGTTTCACTATTTGAATCTTTATTCGGATTTTGGAGAGGAGATTCAAAGGCTTGTTTGTTGAGAATTTTCGAAATTCCATTGCTGGTCTTGCGAAGAACGAATCTAGTGGTTTGAAACCTAGTACTAAAACTCAGCTGGGTATTGAAATTTAGACTTGAAAATGCGATGAACATTTGTGTTTGAGGATCAAAACCGGAGGGACAAGCAGAGACGCCATTAAAGCTCGCTTGAAGCTTCTGGGTATCTGTGTTCGAAGATTTCAATTTTAAGGCTCTCTATGTTTCGGATTCCCCCTCTTTGGTCCATCTCTATGAGGCATCTCGTCGCCCTTATGGGATTGTGTCTAAAGCCCAATGCCTCACCCGTGTTTCAGAATGAGGCATCTCGTCATTTACTCATGCCTCACCCGTGTTTCAGAATTTCACATTGAATAACAGAGTGAAAAGGCTTGATCTTGGTGGGAAAGCTTTGAGCAATTTCATGAAGGAGTTAGTGAGTTACAGGAGCGTTAATTTGATGGACGAGAATTTCCTTATGGATGATGTGAAAGAGAAACTCTGCTTTGTGTTGCCGGAGACTTGCAGATTGCTAGGGTTTTCTAAAAAATCCTATTTTTAAATAGTTTATTTTCCTATGTGGCACTAGTAATGATGTGGCGTCCTACGTGTAGGAGATTGTATTACACACACTGGTAACATCCTGTCATAAGCGTTTATTAAATACGATTTGAACTAGTGTAAGTATTCAATTGGCAAAATGATACGTTTGAGGATCGGCATGACAAAGTGGCACAAGTATAAGTGTCATCTAGGCTATTCTACCTTTTGAAATTTCAATTTTTTTCAAGAATTGCATGCAGCTGTGTGGTTCTTAGCTCACAAGTGAACGTTTTGACAAATTTTGAGGAGGTTTAATTTCCCATGTCATTTTGAAATTTAGACCTTTCCATTTAAGTATTGTCATTGTTCAGGAATTTTATTGTGGGAAATTATTTGTTTTATTCAAGAAGATTATGAAAACCCTTAGGAAAAACTATAATATGCTGCTGAGAGAATTCATGTACTCAAAAGTGAATTGTGTTATATATTTGTTCTCCTTTATCTCAATGTTTATCTCGTAATCATTTGATTTCGCCAGAAGAACCTCCGTATTCCTTCACGAAACATTTTACGTCAAAAAGCAAAGAAAAATAGTTGCCGATTAATAAGAAATTTGAGGTTGGAAGTTGTTTTGCTTTACATGTACATTAACAAAAAACATGAAGATTTATCTTTTTAATAATACTTCCAAAAGTTATAAAGAAGCACTCAACTAATTGATGAAACCCAACTTGTTAAAAATTTCATTGATTAGCCTGTATCAGCACAACTCAAGACAGTGGATGGAATTGTTGCAACTATATATATTTCATCAACTCAAAATATGTTAAAACTAGATTTGTATGCATTGTATATTCAAACGTCTAATTTAGGGGCGTTAATGAACGAGTTGAACTAAGGGATTTTTACCTAGCTATACTATTTTTACCTAGCTATATTATATTAGAAACTTATTTACCTATGTTCTCTATGTTTTGCAGTTTTTAACAAGTATCTAGGTTTTTCTTACAAATTGGAGACATTGCTTCTTAAAAGGCTCTCGCCCCATTATTAGTGCATTCAATTAAGGGATTCAATTACATCCTTTCCTTTTTTTTTCCTCTCCTCTTCTCACCTTTTTTTTTACATCAAAATCCCTTAATCTACGCCCAAAATCTCCATCTTTTCTCTTCCCACCATTTTCGACAGCTTTATATTATATAAAAATATTAAGAAATTGTATGATAATTGTATTCATAATTGTATTTGAATTGTGTCAGATACATCAATGTCTAAACATAAATGTATCATACTTGTATCACAATTGTATCTAACTTGTATCTGGTACATTAATACCCAAAATAATACGTGATACAGTATTGTACCAAGTATTATTTTGGGTATTGATGGATCATATACAAGTCAAATACAATAAAGATTTTAGAAAGAAAGAAAATAAGATTAAAATTTTACCCACAACTTGATTCTATAGCAATATTTTAAATTTCGTCTGCATTATATCAATAAAAAAATAGAGATTTCAGGTGATAGTAAGAAAGAGAGAAATTGAATTTCAAAAGCTTTGGAAGAGGAAAAGAATCTACAATTTTGGGGGGATAACAGCGGGTATGTAAGATTTTGGGTAAGTAAGATGTTGGATAACAATGGGTAAACAAAATTTCTTACTGTAGGTAAGAACAATTTTGGGTAATTGTTAAGAAAGAGAGAAGATGTTTTTGTAATCCTTTGAAAAAGGAAAGAATCTTAAATATAGGGGGGATTATTGAAAATGGGGGTTGGATTTCATATAACCGATAGGCTAGATTTAAGGGATCTTGAAATTCTTCTTTTTTATAATTTTTTATATAACTAGTAAATATAAATATACAAAGTAATTAATAAGGAACCTAAATAAATATGGTAGATATGTTTCTAATATTGATAACTAGGTAAAAATCCCGCTATCTATTTTTAAAATAAACTGAATTGATAAATTGACGAGTTAATGATCCGGATGAACTGGACTGAAATAAATAGAATAAAAATAGGTGAAACGATGCATTATAATTCAACCTGCCCAACTCTTACTAGATTTCAATTTCTTTATTTGTTTTCGTATAATTTGCTTAATTCTAAACAAACTAAGAAAAAATTTCTTCGTTAAGACTATATGTAATATTCAAACAGAACTTTTTAAATACCAAACAAAATTCTAATATGCAGCCACTCACTTAGGCATTAAAATTGTTATGTGGCTTCGTTCTGATAACTTGTTTTGGTAACATGTCTGGTTTTGGTAATCTATTTTGGTGGCCAATGAAACTTGTGAAATTTGCCTATAAAAGGGCAGCACTTCTCACGTCAGAAATGCACCAGCAAGATTCGAGGATTCCTCTCTTGTATCCTTTTCTCTCTCTCTCTATTAATTGAGAGTATTTTATACGAGAGCGAGTATTGGATTATACTTGTATGAACTCTTCTTTATAGTGCTCTCGTGAGGTTACTCTTTTTGGATATTTGGAGTTAATTGGAATATTATCTCTAATTTTGTACTTTTTTTATGTACTCTAGTCAGTATAATGATATTGTTCATCCCCACGTGCGCACATAGGTTATCAAGGCGGAGACAGAATTTCAACTTTATGCATGCGCTCTGAATTTTAGAACGAGTACTTCAAATGCTGATTATAGTATTCTGTAAATTTGTAATTTATACATTATTTAATNGATTCTGAATTTAGTATTTATACATATTTAATTATTATTTTAACACAAATATATTATTTGAACAAAAGCTACTAAATCGGTCTTCTAGCTCCACCTTGTAGGTCAGACTGATTAGAACCACATTAAATTTATGCCTCATTTATGTGCTTACATTATCGTCATTATAGACTTGCATATTTTGGTTATAAGAGATAGTGTAGTTTTACCAAACTAATTAGAGATAATTGCTAGTTATCCTACAAGTGCTGTCGCCTTACAGAGTAATGTTAGATTTTACCATTGACGCGTGTCATATATATATATATATATATATATATATATATATATATATGTATATATATATATATGTTTGTATGTATNCACTCTCATATATATATATATATATATATATATATATATATATATATATATATATATATACACAACTGAGTTAGCCATCAGACGACTTTAGGAGCACTTGACAATTCATTCTCAGGTTCATCATTCTCTCCTTTCTTACTCACTGTTTTCTTCATTGTTGATAAAACTCTTGTGTGTTCTTAGCTACTATTTCAGAGAACACTCCCACTTTTTGGTAACAGTTTTAATTAGTTTTAAAAAGATAGAACAATATTATTTAGGCGTTGAAGGAAGTATTAAAGTGGTACCTAGTGAACTCTCTTGTCACTAAGCTTAATTAGGCTTTGCAAGTTTTAGTACTGAAGTGATTAGTACATAGAATAAAACTAAAAATAAAAAGGTAGGAAAACTACTACAGTCAAGTGTCTCTATAACAGCCTCATTTGTTTCGGATTTTTTTTTGATGTTATAGCAAAGTGTTATTACAGAAACATATAGTATATTATAACATAATATGAAAATTGGTTCCATGAAAAAGTTGGTTATTATAGTGAATCGCTATTACATAGCGATGTTGTTATAGAGGAGTGTGACTGTACTTTGATATCGCATCCGTCCAATTTTTCTCTTTTCTTGTGGCTGTTGATTTGTGCTGATAAGCTTTTTAGCCGCAAAAGCAATGCAACCCTCGTCTCTGTTTAATTAGTTTCCCGTTGGAATACTACTTCTTTATAAGGTCCTGTATTTCATGAAGTATATATGGGAATCTTGCTGCTAATAATGCCAGTCCATATATTAAGAGGAGACAACTTAGTGACTTCAATTACAATGCACCCTTTCTTTTATTTTTAATAATGTGAATAGCTCTGTCTAGACAGTTTGGAGATTCTGTACCTTTCGTGTTCAATTCTTGGTTTTTTTCTGCAGATTCTACTGGCTGTTTTTACAAATACGATGCCTCCTAATGGCAAAAAGCAAAGTTTACCTCCGAATGTACTTGGCAACCTTCCTGAGAATGTAATCGATGACATTCTTTCTCGTTTGTCTTTACGAGATGCTGTGAGGACAAGCATGTTATCGAAGAATTGGAGATATAAGTGGTGCAGGCTTACACAGCTGAAACTTGATCAAACACTTTGGGAAACAACAAATGACTTAATACCCCCTACTGTTAAAATTACTGACATTATCTATCAGCTTTTGACCCTTCATGTAGGACATATTTCTAAATTTATCCTCTCCGTCTTTGATCTTATCAACTGCCCTAAGATTGACAACTTGATATATTTCCTCTCTCGGAATGGCATTCAACATCTTGTTCTTCAATTCCCGATAGGTAACCCATACAAATTGCCTTCCTCGTTTTTCACATGTTTGCAGTTGAGGCATGTGACTCTCCATCGATGTATAGTACGTACTCCACTGGTCTTTAAGGGATTTCATAGGTTACTTAGCCTAGAACTAAGTCAAGTCACAATTTGTACTGAATTTCTTGGACGTTTTATCTCCCGTTGCTCGTTGCTGGAGCATTTGCTGCTGGAATACGTAGATAATGCAAACCACATTGAGGTTAATGCTCCCAAGCTGAGATCATTTGTCTTCACGGGCAATATACATTTCCTACATCTAAAATGTGTCCCTCTTCTGGCAAAAGTTTCACATGAGTCTACAGCATCCCTTTTAAAAGCAGGAAAAAATGATCTTGTCAATTTTTTTAACTCTATTCCTGCACTTGAGCATCTCCACTGGAATTACAATAGTTTCCGGGTAATCATGACTTCACTTTAATATGTTTTCATAGATGTACCATCTCTTTGGGCTTTAACTCGTCTGTTTTTTTTTTTCCAACATTTTCCTCCTAGTTCATGGTTACAGGACCAGGTGAAGTACCAACAAGGCTTCCCTCAGCTCTCAACTGCCTTAAACATCTTTACCTATCTGAAATTTGCCTGGAAGAACGAGTCGAGCTTTTATGTGCTCTTTGCTTGATTAGAAGCTCCCCGAATTTAGAGGAACTTGAAATTAAGGTTCTTAATGACGTTTGTTCTTCATATGTGTGTTATGATTTTCTTATTTTCATACTCATTAAATTTTCAGTTTTAATCTTTCTTAGGGGCCTTTTGATCTTATGGGCAAATTACTTGCTCCTGTGCTCTGGAGCGCTGTTGATGAAATTCCAGCAACCTTCTCAGATGCGACGTATAATCACCTGAGGGCAGTTAAGATTAAAGGTGTAGCAGGAGCATGGGGTGAAATGCAGCTTATCAAGGTTTTATTGGCCAAGTCTCCAGTGCTGGTGAGAATGGTAATTGAGCCCGATGTAGTAGGAGATCAATCTCTCAAAGTACTTGCGAAGATAGCCAAATTTCAGCGGGCATCACCTAAAGCGGAAGTGGTATATAACGTGGATGCTTATCCCGGTTACAATCTCGCTTGATGTTCACGAGTCTTTAATCATGACCAAGATCTTTTGTTAAAATATTTTGGAAGCTCAAGTATAAATAGAAATGAATGTTGATGCAATAGCATAAGCCTATAAGGCTGTGTTTTGCCTTGCTATTAGGTAGTATGAAGACTACAAGTTTGGGAACATAGTGAATCAGGATGGATGTTTTGGGTAGTGTATATATACTGATTCACAGCAATGAATTAAACGTGTAGTTCTTCCATGCAAAAAATACTATCTCGACTCTTGTTATTAGCTTGAAACGTGAAATTTTTCCAAATCACATTTAATAATTATTTCTATTTGATTATTTCGTAGCATGTTGAATTCATTTTTTATTTTAGACAACAGTTACCGTACAAAATTTTGCACTGGTTTATTAGTGTTTTCCAAATAACTTCCACCAGAGCAAGAACGGAATGGAAAATCTTAGAGGAGAAATGAAAAATCAAATCATAGAATGTAAGTTTTCTACTAATGTACTTTAACGAAGAAATCTTTCCAAAGAAGTGTGCTCTCTCTCGAGCTTCATGGCAAAGTCCCAAATACCTAAGAATACTGCATCAAAATTCAAACACTTTCAGGTATAAATAAGCCTTTTCCAGTTGTTATGAAAAGATAATCCACTATGCCATGGTAATAATATACTTTTCAAGAGAGACAATAATCATCGAACCCAAGTTTAGATCTGTTGCTATAAAATTTGGCCACCTTCTAATTTCTCCAACCAGTGGACTAACAAAAAAGAAACTATCCTACTAAGATTTAGAAATCTCGGAACCAACAAATTGATTAGTGCTCAAGATGGAAGACATATTCTGTCAAGCGCTGTAATTTACTGGGGTCTAACTTCTGTTCTGTCACAACTGCTTGTTTCTTCACAGTAAGCATTGGAGAAGCTGGATCCAATACCCAACCCTGTTGCAGCGCATCTGAAAGGAAGATGACAAAGTAATTATTACCAGTCAGTGAAAACGCATGAACACATTGTGATTGAGATTTTTTTTCTGGCAAGTATAACTGAGGCTTGCATATAAATCACAACAGCAACAAACAAACACCAAATAGGTGAGAGCTTATGAATACCTGAGACGTAGAATAAATAGATAAGTATTCAAAAGACTTCATTGTATGTGCTTCTTTAACATTTAATGCCCACTTATATTTGTTAACCACTTCACCCAAATATTTGATCTTAGAATACCATAGCCTGTGAAACCTTTTTAACTGATTCAATAACTCGATAAACTTCAGTTCATTTAATGTCCTCTTATGTACCAAAAATAAACTCTTAGAGACTGCAAGCACGCTGTAGGATAAAATCTTACAGTTTGTAGCATCATTTTCATTCATTCCAAGGAACTGAGCTGTATCTTGTGTGCTAATGGTAGAATAAGCAGAAAGCAGGAGCTCAAACATCCTTTTCCTGTATAATTCTGCAGAAGGATGACATGAAAATGATATGAAAATCCAACATACAGAGATGAGGTACAAGAACTTGAAGTTTAACTTTACATACTATGGTTCCTTTCATATATTTGAGTAATTGCTTTTCTCTATAAATTTAGAAAAATGGCTAGCAACTATTGACATTTTCGCAGCAATTGTGGTCTCGCCCAATGTCACAAAGATTAAAAAAAATGCATGAATTTCACATTTGCATCTACTGGATGCCAGTAATGAAATTTACTATCACTTCATCAAAGAAACTGCATGAATTTCAATACACAAAAAATAGTTGACAATTTACTTTTTAACCACACTACGGAAGATCCTAAGAGCTGGAACGTAGCTTGTTGAAACACGCCTCCTTGAAATGCTCTTGCACCTCATCCATGCTTCTTTCTCTCCCACAACCAATCCCCAACTCAGAAGAACTCCACATAGACTGAGGAGACATATACTTTGGTATATACCCACATCAGATAATCCTTAACCTCTCACAAAATTGTAGTAGCATGGTTCTAGGTTTTACTTCTTTTTTCTGATAGGTGGTATGGTTCAAGTATTATCTGCGAGCTCTCCAGAGATATGATGATAGAGCTACATACCAATATCTTCTCATTTGAAAATTTAAATTTTGATATAGAAAATTACGCGCCAAATTATCCTTTATATCCTCAAAGACATTTTTCCTCAATTTTTCAGCCAAGTACATGATAGATTTCATGTGCCTGGAGAGGTACCAATTATTTAAAATAACCCAGAACTCTGATTAGCTCACAAAGTAAATGTTAGTAGAAAGAGTATATACAGTCCTTGTTTTAGTAAATACAGTGTCTTGTCAGAATTAAACATGCCGACAACAGGAACCTGTTAAGCTCGCCCAACTCAAATAAGAGTAACTGACAAACATGAATGCAGAGAAAAATTAACAAGGAAGAAAATAGGAGCACAGAAACATTATTCAAAAGAACATTATCCACAATTTTCTAGATCAATAAGTTTTTCAATGCCAAGATTCAAGCATAGAGTTGATACTCCCCAACCGACAATCACAAGATCAAAGGAGGACAAAATTGACCGTCGCAATTGAGAAAAAGGCAACACCTTATGATCTCCCTTTCTAAGGGATCACACCACTAAACCCAGCCTAAAATAATAAGCTCAACAAGATAAAACTTGCTTATAGTGACTGTTTCTTACCAATCCAGCCATTGGCCCATTGCTAGATATCATTTCAATTTTCTCCGTGTTATAGCATGACATACAGAACGGTAGAACGATTCTCCCTGCCCACTTAAGTTGTTTAACTGAAAGTGGCCATTTGACTTTGAGATAAGTTCATAGAAAACCATTCCTGTCTCAAGCCATTATCAAACTCCAATGGTTAATCCTGGAGTGCAGCTCAACTTTGTGATTTAAGCATATTCATAAATTCTTCTAATTCACAACAATGGCAATACATTGTCAATCCTTACATGTGACTTGATCCACATTAAAAGAGGTAACAGTCTCTGGCACTTAGCTTATAAGTCCCAATTCTTAGTCATTCATATATTCCATTATCTATCGTAATAACCTTCAGGAAAGAAAACAAATCCTTCTAGGTTTTTGACAGGCACAAAAAAGAATGCTGATCCCTTGTAAAATACCAAGTAAAGTAGAAACTTATTTTCACTAAGCTTTCAAAATAATTACTATAGTATTTTTCATCAAGGACAAAAAGAATGTCGGCCTATTGCTAAATGACGACTTATGCAGAAACTTATGTAAAGAATTCAACAAAAACTGACTAGACTAGTTCCTTCGATTAACAGAAGATGATCAACGAAATCTCCACCATCTGCTCTAGTATTAAAAAATTTTAACAATAATAAAGAGCAGGAAATTGCACCAACTTGCCTGCAAAGGAAGCCACAATTGGCTGAACCTCAGGAGTCCAGCTGAATTCTCGAATAGCCTCATACACGCCCACGTAGTCCCTCGTCCAAAGCTTCTGCCCGATCCTCCAAACAGCCACCACCTCAGGCCGGCCCTCCTTTATTGCGGCAGGTATCTTCTTCCACAGAAATCGTGCACTATTACTGCATAAGTACCACAATAAAGAATGTAACCCTGATCAATCCCTTAACAACACCCAATCTAAAACCCTAAAATTCCAAAAGTAAAGTTGCTATTAGTACAAAATAAGGGATTACATGTCATTGTTGTAAATATGGCCTAGAAGGTGAATCGCGTAAGGCCATTCGTCTTGACAATCAATGCCCTCAGCGGCACCCTATGAGTGTGGCCAAAGCGAATAGAAACAATTAGTTCTTTTTTTTTCCAAATCGGTTGAACGGATAATAATAGAGTGGCAATAAATTGAGAGGAACTAAGGAGAAATTACCTGAAGTAAGAGGTTGTCACAGATATCGGCAATCTTGTCATAGGACTTGGACGCCAACGCTTCGTTGAGGAGAGAGGTATCCATTGGAGGACACTGTTTTTTCTCGTCTTTCTTCTCCTTCTTCACTGTCACTGATTCTCTGCGGGGAGATCAGAATTACAATATAGTGGCTTGTTTGGGCTTTTGGTCTTTGGGCCTGAGATCTTAAACATGGGAGAAATTCAAAAGTAGCCAGATTTACAAGTGGTCATTCAGAAATAGCCACAGTTTTAAAAGTAATCGAAATTTAGCCACTTTTCATGTAAAGATAAATCTGAACGAAAACACTGTTCAGAATCCGAAAAATATTCCAGCATAATATATGGAGTTCCAGCATAAGTATACTGGAACTCCAGCATATTATAATGGAGATACGGCATAAGTATACTGGAACTCCAGCATAATATACTGGAGTTTCAGTATAATATACCGGTCCAGTATAATATGCTGGAAGTTCATACACCGGTGCACCGATCTCCAGTATATTATGCTGGACCGGTCCGTGTTGCAGCAAATAGTGGCTATTTTTCAATGACTTTGCAAGCGCTGGCTATTTTTGAATGATCAGTCCGAAAGCTGGCTAGCCCGTGCTGTTTTAACCTTAAACATGAAGGGCTAATATTACTTTTAGCCAGCTATTTACATCTGATAGCCGAAAAAGTGTATAAAACTTGTATAATTTTTTTATATAACATACAGAATGCATATACAAAAAAAATATACACATATTTTATATTTTTTTTTGACTATTATATTTACCGTGGCTATACAGTGTCATTTTCTGAAACATCAATTAGACCTTTTTAGAACCACCATTTATATTTTGACCATGTCAAGAAAAATCTTAATAAGATAGTCATGCACCGGAATTTTAAAGTTCGTTGTCATAATTTTGAAGCATGTTGCCATAATTCTCAATTCTGGTAGGATATTCCAAAATTGCTGCGTTCTTCAAAATTCAATTTGCAGATTCAATAATGAGTCTGCAATTTGGTTTTGAAGTAGCTAAATTTAAAATACTCTATGAACTTTGGCCATTATTTAAATAGGGATAGTAAAGACAACTAACTTCTGGCTTTGTGCATACCTCCTTCCGCCTACCCATTAGAACATTTTCATACATTCTATTGAAGACATCTACTTTGAAAGGGTAAAATAACTTATAAATTATCAGTATAAATTATTTAGTTGTAGCACATTGTAGTATTTTTGTTTAAATTCGACTGTATATATTCCATGTTCAGTTTATTTCACTATATAGTCACTAGGAAGATACTATTTGGTTAAAGTTGTGAGCGTTACTGTGTTAAAACACAAAATCAGAAAAAAAAACTGTTAGAAGAATTAAAGAAATCTGGAAAATAGTAGAGAATCAGAAATATTCCGAGTCCACAAGTTTCTTGTGTGTCCTTAAGGAATTTTAACCCCCTCACAAGTTGCCAAGGTAATGAATTAAATCCTCCCAGGATAAAACGGAATAAACCTTCCTGCAACAGTGGCAATACAAACTGCAGGATCCCAACGAACTCAAAGAACGGAGCAAAATCACACATACGAATTGGAGAGAGATTGACTGCGAATTAGGATGCAGTATATTCAAAAAGAAAGAAGTTCTGGAGTGTTTTTCGTGTGTAGAAAATGGAGCCTTGCCTCAGAATTTATAGGCAATTATCAGAAGAGGTGTCTGGAAAAGGTGCCTTTTCAGAAGAATACGCTGCGGTTAAGACAGAACCGCGGTCAGAGAGGCTCTCTGAATCTGCCTGCCGCGGTTCTACCGCGGTTACAGCAGAACCGCGGCCAGAGAGTCCCTCTGAATCTTCAGCAGGGTTCTGGCGTATTTTCAGCAGTGATTTGGCATTTAATTAATTATTAAATAATTAAATAAATTTTGTCCAAAAATAATCTTATCGATCGATCATACAAATCCAAATCCAAATCCAAATCCAAATCCAAATCCAAATCCAAAGCCAAAGCCAAAGTCGAGCCGAGCGAGCGACGACGACGGCGCGAGGGTTCATTCTCTTCAACTCCTTTTAAGAGCTTTAAGAAGTGATTCTATATATAAGCACACAAATGTGATTGTCCCTCACCAATGAGGGACAAAGTGCAAGACAAAAGTTCGCTTCTTCAAATTTTTATTTTTCCCTCCATTTTATTTCCCTCCATTTCCAATTCACACTTCTTCTACTTTAAAGCTCAATGGCTTAAAGTCCAACAATCCCCCACATGAATGGGAATGGCTGTATCAAGAAAGATCATAGATGAAAGCTGTGTGATTTGCAAGTAAGGATTAATTGCATCTGGATAAGTAGGTTTCCCTTTGAACTTTCCGTAATGAACATATGTCGGATATACTCGGTCAATCGGTAGATTTGATATCTTTGAACCGTCGAACTTTAGTGTATACCTTGACAACCATATGTCACACAATCAACCCTTAACCGTCTTTTAGTTCTCATTGTTGTGTTCGTTTCAGCCATGAACACCGCCTGGTCTCAAAAGTGCGTAGAGAATTGGCCTTACAGAATTCTCATTGAAGCGGCTTCCACTTCACCCTTACATAGGTGATTCCTAAACGTGTAATCCTTTAGATTGACACTATTTGATAACTACCATATCAAACTTAGGTAATCATTAAAGAACATGTAAAGTTCTATCCTTGTTACTGAACATTGTCTTCATTACGAGAAGGGACCAAAGATTTTACTTTGACAATGTTGAACCGGTCAATCACAACTTTGTTTGAGCTCCTTGAACCTAGATCTCGGAACATCCAAAATTCTAGGTAGAGTTACCGCCATGTTGACTTGTCCTCGGCCATAGTCCCATTCCCTTAGATGATTTCTCAACTCCCTCTCTAGTTAAGCCTTTTGTAAGCGGATCCGCCACATTATCCTTTGATCTTACATAATCAATAGTGATAATTCCACTAGAAAGTAGTTGTCTAACGGTGTTATGTCTTCGTCGTATATGACGAGACTTTTCGTTATACATAACGCTCTCTGCCCGTCCTATTGCAGCCTTACTATCGCAATGTATGCAAATAGGAGCCAAAGGTTTTGGCCAGAACGGAATGTCTTGTAAGAAATTTCGAAGCCATTCAGCTTCTTCACCGGCTTTATCCAAAGCTATAAAATCTGATTCCATTGTAGAGCGAGCGATGCACGTTTGTTTGGAAGACTTCCAAGATACTGCTCCTCCACCAACAGTAAAAGCATATCCACTTGTGGACTTTGTTTCTGTTGAGCCGGTTATCCAATTTGCATCACTATATCCTTCGATAACCGCAGGATATTTATTGTAGTGCAAAGCGTAGTCTTGGGTATATTCCAAATATCCCAGAACTCATTTCATTGCTACCCAGTGATGTTTGTTGGGATTACTTGTGAATCGACTAAGTTTACTTATCGCACAAGCTATATCAGGTCGTGTACAGTTCATGATGTACATTAAGCTTCCCAACACACGAGCATACTCCAATTGAGACGTACTTTCACCTTTTTTTTTATAAGATGATGATTTAAGTCAATTGGAGTTCTTGCACTCTAAATTCCAAGTGTTTGAATTTTTCAAGTACCATTTTCACGTAATGTGATTGAGACAAAGCTAGACCCTGAGGAGTCCTCTGGATTTTAATTCCTAGAATTACATCGGCAACTCCTAAGTCTTTCATATCAAACTTACTAGCAAGCATGCGCTTAGTAGCTTGAATGTCGGCAATGTCTTTGCTCATTATTAGCATATCATCAACATATAAGCAAACAATGACTATATGATTTGGAACGTTCTTAATGTAAACACATTTATCACATTCATTAATCTTAAAGCCATTTGACAACATTGTTTGGTCAAATTTCGCATGCCATTGCTTGGGTGCTTGTTTTAGTCCATAAAGAGACTTAACAAGACGACACACCTTCTTTTCTTTTCCCGGAACCACAAACCCTTCAGGTTGGTCCATGTAAATTTCTTCCTCTAAATCACCATTTAAGAAGGCTGTTTTTACATCCATTTGATGGATTTGAAGACCATACAAGGCGGCTAACGCTATTAGCATCCGAATGGATGTAATTCTTGTCGGCGAGTATGTGTCAAAATAGT